TATCACTACGGAAGTAGATTGCCCCATCTTCCTTCCGAGGAGTGGCTGGTGGGTTTGAACTGCCAGCCTTCTGGTTAGCAGTCAAGTGCCTTAGGCCCTATGCTACCAGAGCTCCTAACCAGCACAGTAGGCATATGATTTCTCACTCTCTGTGACAAGCCCTCTCATGGACTTCCAGATACCAGAACTAAAGTTCATGTATTTTAGCCATGGGAAAACATACTTAAGGAGTGAAAAGACCCACATATTAAGTTCTCGTAACAAAGTGAATTTTAGACAAATCTAAGCGTAATATACAAATACCTGACTTGGTATGAATTACTCCCAAACTCAACTATCAAAAAATATGCACTCACTGAGAAAAATTAAAGGAAAACCCAAAATAAAGTTCTTAAAAACTCCTTACTTTCTTCCATCCACAGTTGAAGGAAGGAAGGGAGGGAAGGAGGGAGGGAGGGAGGGAGGAGGACAGAAAGATAGAAACCTGGTTTAGATAAGAAAGCCAAATTCGACAAAACATTGTAAGGAAATAAACTCCCAAAAGTCACATATGCTGCAAAAAAAAAAAAAAGAAAAAAAAAATCAATAATCAAAATAATAAGACAGAATCTTCTTAACAAATGTCATTTTCCTACCCGTTGCCATGATGATCTGGACTATGTCAAAGCTTCATCATGGCAACGGAAACTATCATCATAAAATGGTACAGTAAAAGAGATAGCTAGACCAAGAAGGGGCAGGGTCTCCTGGGAAGAGGTCTGCAGAGAGGCCCAGTGACTGGTTGCGCGGCTCAGTGTCAGGAATAATGGTTGTACGGTGGAAGGGGATGCCCGATGCCATTTTGGAAATGATGATGCTGGCGATGAGCAAGATATTCCGCATAGCTCAGGGTCATCTTTTCACTACGGTACCTGCAAGAAAGTTATGTAAAAGACAAAGTTAACATCAGGAAATACGCTCTTGACACGCCAGCATCAGAGTTAGGAGAGACCCGAGAGCTCACTTTAGAGATTGGGAAACAGAAGCCCAGAGAGAAGCAGCAACTTGCCCTGTGTCACACAGCTAATAAGTGGCAAACCTAGGATCAGAACCCTGGAATCCAAGCTCTCAGTCCAGTGCTCTTTCTAGGCTACTACTTACTCCTTGTTTAATTTGTTCTAGAAATTCCAGAATTTTTTTTTTTTCTTCTAGAAATCTGATTTCTTCTTTACCCCCAGTTTGCTGACAGGAAAGAGCAGGGCAAAGGCAATCTATTACCATCATGTACTCAGCGTCATTCCCTCGAGTACTTTTTCTTCAGGGATCTTGCACCTCTCCCTCCTTAGCAGTTTCCTTCTCTCTGTGCACACATCGACTTAGGTCTCCCCATTAAGTAAAAAATAGCCCAAAACTTTTCTTAATCCTGGTACCGTTGAACCCTCTCTCTTGCCCATCTCTAGCTGCCTTTTCAGAATCACATTTCTCAAAGGAGTGGAGTGTGTATATATATATATTTCCTTCAAGCCCTCATCTCACACTCTCAGCCCGGGGCTACTTGGCTCCTGCTGCCACTCCAGCACAGAAACTGCTCTCTCGGGCCACTCCTGATTGGGCCTGACCTCTCCATTACCACCCTGCTCACTCCCTTTCTGATGCTCTCTTGTCCCTGGGGCTCTACACCACCACACTCCTCCGCTCTTTCCCTGCTTCTCACACTGCTCTTTACCTAACTGCCCATCTTGTCCCTGCATTGTAGGATTTTTCTACATTTCCATCAGCTCTTTTGCATCTCTACTCTTTTCCCCACAGTGAACCTTCCTTCATAGCTTCAGCTATGACCTCTTAGATGACTCCCAACTCGCCATCTCCAGCCAGGAGCTCTACCCATGTACATTTTCAGTGACCTATTAGACATTTATATGTAGGCATCCAAGGAGCTCTGATAGCACAGTGCCTTAGGCATCAGACTGCTAACCAGAAGGTTGGTGGTTCAAACCCACCAGCCACTCTGTGAAAGGAAAACTGGGCAATCTACTTCTGTGAAGATTTATTGCCTCAGAAACCCAATGGAGGTTGTTATGAATTGGAATTGACTTGATGGCACTGAGGTGTTTTATTTTATTATTTTTTATGTAGCTATCCCAGGAAGCACTTAAATGCACGAACATGACTCTCCTCCTGGGGCCCCTACCTTGGTTAATGGCATCTCCACAGGCCCTTTTATCAAGATTAAAGCCCCAAAGTCATGCATCTTTGACTTGTTCCTCTTCCCTACTTCTAAATGATGACTAAGTCTTTTCCTTTCTTCCACAGTATTTGCACAACAGTTCCTTCCTTTCTTCCCATCCTACAAGCACAGCTCCCATTTTATATTTTTTGAGCTGCTGCCACCAATTCTTACATAATAGCAATGTCTCCTAACTAATTTTCCCATTTCCAATACCAGCCCTATACCTCTCCAAATCCACCTTGACTCCCCTGTTTAAAACCTTTGAAGGGCTACTTAACTGTCTGTCGAATCAGGTCCAAACTTTTCAGTCTGAAACTCCAGTCTACTTTCTGGGCCATATTTCCTTGTCATGGCTGTGTCATATATGTACACTGAAAGGCCAGACAAACCAGACTAACATTCTTCAGAACTTGCTCTATACTTTGCCTTGACGCACAAGGTCTTCTTTAAGGGAAGAATTCCTTTCTTCCTCTGCTCTCCACCTGGCAAATATTGTATCCATTTTCCAAGCCCAGCCCAAAATCTGTCTCTTCTTTGAAACCTTCTTTTATCTTTCATTACCTTCTGGAATTTCTCTTTCCCTACGTTATGATCTCACATTAGCTATCACATTCTATGTTGTATTAATAATTCATTTTTACATACCCTCCTAGCCCCCTAGCCTGTGAGCTTAGTGATAGCAGATATGGAGGCATTTTCAAATTTGTATCTCAGAGCTCAGAATAGTCCAATTTTAGACTATGGGAATTCAGTGTGGTTTTATGGAATTGAAATACATGGAAGCTTGTTGTTGTTGTTACATAGCCCGGCTAATTGCACCGAGAGCTCTGGTAGCATAGTGACTGCTAACCAGAAGGCTGGAGGTTCAAACCAACCAGCCACTCTTTGGAAGGAAGGTTGGGCAATCTACTTCCGTAGTCATACTGCCTTGGAAACCCAAGGAGGGGTTGCTGTGAGTCAGGGCTGACTCGGTGGCACATAACAACAGCAACAACAACAACAAAGATGGGAAGGATGGGCTCATACATCATACAGACTTTACTGACAAGCAAAGTTCCATTGTATCCACCCTCAGTATGGCCCTGCCATTCATTTCCACTCTGTTGCAGAAAAAAGAAGCAAGTATAGTTAGAGAGACCAAAGATAATCAAAGGGTTGTAAGGCATATATGTCCTGGTTAGCCTTGCACTAGAAAATGCCTTCTGTACCTGGTCAATTTTATGGTTTTCCTGAATTCATTAGTAATCGGAGCTTTGTATCCTCCTTTCCTCAGTAAGGAGTCTATGGTCTGAATATGGTCCCATCCTGTGGAGAGTTGACCAGATAAAACATCAGTCAAGCACATGTAACAAGCACCTTTGGTTAAATACAAAGTGACTTTGTAGAGGTCAGCTATCACTGTCACCAAATGCCACCAGCTCCTTTGGTCCTAAAAACAATCACATAGAAGAGCTAAGATTTCATCCTGTACAGAAGCAAGTTCACCCCACACACCTAGCTATCTAAGATGTTTAATGACATTGGTTTCATTATCTCAACCACATTTGAAGGCACAGAGTCTAAGAGGCTGGCAGAAACTGCTCAGTCATGTTTCTGTAGCAAACCAAACACCAATCTCTAACAGTGACATCTTTTAAAAGGAGGAGAGTCTAAATGTCGTTGTGCCAACTTGGTAGTATTCAGGACTCCCATATTAACTCATGGTAATTGCTATTCCTAATGGTATCTTCAGCAGTCAGTCAAGCACATTTTGTGCCATATTTAAGGGCATTTTTATGGTTCTAATGTAAGATGGTATGCTAATATCTAAGGTGCTCTATCTCTTATGTATGCTTTATGAAGTCAATGATACTGAAGAACTGAGCAATCCAAATAAACCTTCAGATAGCTGCCTTCAAGGCTAACTCTCTTGTTTTGGGGTTTAATGAGGTTAACTTTTGTTGTTATGTAGCTCAGACTGGTAAGAAGCAAACATGGGAAAGCAAAATACAAATACTTTCTGATGAGAAGAAAAATTCCATAAGGTGAAGAAGAAATATTTTTTTCAGCTAATATGCAACTAGAATTTAGAAATGCCTAGACAGGACAAAAAACTACAGAGTAAAATGGTATTTTGTAATGCAGTGTTGGTTCATAGAGGCTTGTGATACCTGTGTGAAATAGGAAAACTTTTGTTGCTTAGGAACTGCAGATCAAGCATATAAAACACTAGCACTCTGTGTATTCTCAATGGCCCTAATCTAAATGGGAAACCTGCAGTCATGATATTACAGTAGTAGAATGAGTAATGACAACCACCTAAGAAGGAAACATTTTGATACCGACAATGACAATGAAACAAATGGCTTACTTACGTGACAAGACTATGCACAGTGCAATATGGGAAAATGGCACCTCAAATTACTAGTAGCACATTGTTACTAATTTTACAAATCTTTACTTTTCTCAAAGTATATTTTTGTGTGTTTATACTGTCAGAGATTCAACTACGGTGTAATTCACCGATTTGACACAGACATTGCAGTGGCGTTGTGGAAGAGTTATTGCTTATGATTTGACATTGATCAATTATCAGACATAACTGCAAGGTCAGATATCACGTTTTAATTTGTATATTTGCTTAAATTCTTCACCAGCGCGTATGAAATAAAGTACAACAATGACCTTGCTCCTTTGCAACCTCCGGTAGGTAGGTGGCGGTGCGTTTTGATCCTTTTTCATTGATGAATTCTATTCTAATGCCATGTACACCCACCTGAAAGAAATTGGCAGTTTTATTAGTACAGTCTTCTTCATAGAAACAGAAAGAAAAGGTTATAATTTAACTTTCAAGAGAATGCAGTTCTTCCTTCTCCCTTGTGTTTGGAAGGCCATATCAGTATTCTTTTTCCAAAGCTCTGTGGGTTATGAAGGCCATTCTCATGACCATGGAGACTGAAAATGTGTATTTGCGGGAGCCCAACATGTGCTGGGCTGTGCGATTCTGTTCGAAACTGGGACAACCAATCTGGGGCTGTGTGTGGAATAAGCTGGTTGATGGCAAGAATCCTGCCCCTATTCCCACACTGTGGGTTCATGGTAATCAGGAACTAGACAAGGGGAACTGATTCAAAAAGACAGCAAACAACCATCGTATTTTGCAGGTGCAATCACCACTTCAGATTAAGTTCCAAAACCTCTGGGATGACTCCTCCCAAACTGTCTAAAAAAACACTGTTGCCATCGAATCTATTCCGACACATAGTGACCCTATAAGACAGAGTAGAACTGCCTCCCAGGGCTTTCAAGGCTGAGGTATTTACATAAGCGGACTGCCATGTCTCTCTCCCGCAGAGCAGCTGGTGGGTATGAACCACCAACCTTTTCGTTAGCAGCTGAGTGCTTAACCACTGTGCCGCCATGGCACCTTCTAAGCTGTATAGTCCCTTTAAACCTTGACTTATATGCAATTAAGCAAGCATGGCCAGATAAGACTGAAAAAATAAGAATAAAAACAAGCAGACCCTATAGCATCATCCATTACAGATAGTATTTCTAAAAAATGCATATGGCTTAAGGTGGGCCAGTGGCAACCCCTTACTGCCCATCTACATCAGTGCCCCCACTCAGTGCTGCTACATTTAAGAGCAATAAAGATTTCAAATCACTTTGGGGCAGGGCAGCTTTGCAGTTTCTCTAGATACTAGCCCAGAGACTGCTATACTTTTTCAGTGTGAGACAGACAAACCTTTGGTGATGCTCTCAAGAAAAGTTAGTTTTCTAAGTAAGTGTGGGCAATTTCCTGGTATTTTTTAAAAAAATAGTACACTTTTTCCTTAATTAGCATATAATCTGAAAGAATTGGTCTTTTCCACTCATATTTCACACAGAATAGCATATAAACCTAAAGATCATCAAAAAAGGTCTCAATTTCTTTGTAAACACTGATATTAGAAATGAAATTTCAAAAGCATAAACAATCCCATTCTGTTCTCCCAAACCAGGGTTGCTGTCAATCAGTGGTTTCCTGGAATGGGGCTTCTTTTCCAAGCAGGTGAGTGGAGTTAAAGATATGCTTTCTTTCCATCAGTAGGGATGGAAAGGTAGGTCTGGGTCAAGAAAAGGGGAAGGAGCAGTCAATGAAAACCTCATTAGCTTCTGCTCTTATCCTGAAATTTTCCAATTTTTCAAGGGAAAAAAATTATCTGGAAATCCATTTTGTTCTTTCCTCCAGGTCTTCATCCATCCATCCATTACAGCCTGTCAGATCTTCTGAGCAGGTTATGGTCTTTTATTAAAGCATATCTCTGTGGCTATTTCTTCTATCTATTTAATATCAGTATAATTATGAATCTCCTGCTGAAAATGCAACTGGGGCAACTGTTTTAAAACTAACACAGTAAGGCTTCCCATTCCCTTGTGGGGAAGGACTATGGACAGCTGAGAAGAAATCTGAGTGCTTACCTATCAGGTATTTCCAGGATAAAGGACATCTACTAATCTCCCCAGTGCCTGACACAGTACTGAGACAATGACAAATTTGCAATGGGTTCTGTATACTGAGTTTCTGATCAGTGATTTTGACATTTTCTTTCCTTCGACAACACTGGATTCTTTATAATTTGTTTTTAAAAATATACAGCATAAATAATTTATGCTTCCATCATTCATTGACGTGAATTTTGAATCTTCAACTCTATTCATCAAAAATCTGTCATGTTAAAATTGAAAAGAATATTTGATGCTTATGAAAGTGTCTAAATCAAACTTCTGAAAGGAAGAATGTTTCCCTATCTGTGAGATGAGTGTTAAAGTAAATCAGTGGTGTTCAACTGGTATGGAATATGTGTGTGTCGGGGGGGTGTTGCAGAAATTTTATTAGACTTTCAGGCGGTTTCACATTTAAGCAAGTATAGTTTGGAAACAGAGTAACTTCCTAGGTGATTTTGATTCTAGGTGAACTAGATAATCTCTAATAGCCATTCTAACTCTGACAAACTATGACTATGTATTGAAAAAGAATTGTTTACATAAATAGTGGGGGGGGGCGTGATTTAAATACTTAAGTCCTTTCTTCATGAGCAAGTACATGATGTGTTCTTCAGCAAAAATTTCAGAGGTTTTAAAGCCTCATAATCTAACAATTAAAAGAGCAGTTAAGACCAATTGTATGGTATGTGAATGATAACTCAATGAAACTGTTACATTACACCCACTCCTCACTTATCGACATGGTTAGGTTCCCAAGACCAGGTCATGATGTGAAAATCAGCATTATGTGAGAATGGAGGATAACATATCAGATCACAAAATGGAGGATGACTATATCATTATATAACTGCCAAATCATATCATTACATAACTGCCAAACCACTGAGAATCATGGCTCAGCCAAGCTGACACATGACCTTAATGATCACAGCCAGCATTACTGTTACCTCAAAACCTGACATTCATTACTGACAATCATACACTGTTAATGTGCAAAATAGATGGTTATATATTTCACTATTGTTGTAAATGTGAAATGTCAGATAATGAGATAGTCAATAAGTGAGGAACAGGTGTATAATAAAGGAGGTTAAAATAAAAAATGAAGGACATATTGACCAGAATAAAAAATATTCACCAATATTAGTGCTTTATTTACTTTTATATTTTGAGGAGGCCCCACTATCAAATTTGACATGGAAACATATCATTAAAATTCTCTCTTTTTTTTAATCATTGCCACATTTTCAGCTTTGTTTTCTGGCTTCCTATGATTCTGAGCAATTAACAGCCCCTATGGATTGAACTGTATGTATGGTGATTTGTAAAGTGAATCCTTTATAAGAATTAACTTCTTTGATAGGTCAAAGATAGACTTCACAAAGATATAAAGTCAAAATCAGAGTGACTCATTTTTCCACTAGTACAATTGGGAGAATGATAATAATGTTGTTAATAGACTCAAAGCATGTTTTCCTACTCTCAGGACCACAGACACCATCGCATAGTCAAACTGCACAATCAAAACAGCAGAGTGGAAAATGGCCTGATGTTGAGAATGACTGATTCTGGCCCCCCACCTGTGTAAATCGTTGGCTTTGCAAATTAAGCCATCTCCACGAAAATAACTTTATTCATACTGTTTCAGGGAGGCATCTGTCAGAACTGCAACTCCACAGTGTAACCCTCATACATTGTACTTAAATCCTCTATTTCATAGATTGGAAAATCCTTTGGCCTAGCAGCATCCCAAGAAACAAAGGCTGTAGCTGCAGTTGTCAGATAGATAAAGAGACCAGCTAACCAGGAAACTGAGATTCCCTGAAGCAAACTTACTTTAAAACTCTATTCTCAGGAACTTTGTTTCTAAAGATGGATAAAGAGATAGGATATGAGCAAACTATGTCACCAAATATACCCCTAACTAAGCTACCACTGCCCAAAATACAGACAGGTGAGCAAAAACTGGAAACTTGCAAATCTGGCTTCATGGAAGTCTCCAGGTCATTTTCAGATTATTAGATGGTCTGAAAAAAAAAATGCTTTCAACTTCCATCAGCTGTGATAATATCCTTTTAATCAAGACTGTACTTTTGCTAAGCAAAGCTATAAATCAACTTGAACGGTAGTAAATTAAATGTAGGACTTATAGATAAGAGGATATGGAATTAAACAGAGCTGTATCTGTGTGTGCTGAGAGGATACTGTGACCAATTCAGTAGATTCCTAGTTCATGCTAAAAAGAAAGCCATATTTATTCTGACTCATTCCATATCAAATGACTTTTATTAATGCTATTATACAATCATTTGTTTTTAACATTGCACAGAATTATTAAATATCGAGATTAATATTAAGACCCTAAAAATATATCTTGATTATTCTGGGGTTGATTATCCAGTTTGGGGATTATTTATGCATACCCAACTCCACCTGGCATCAGCCCCATCCTCTTTCTTCTCTGGTCCATTTCTCTATTTGTTCACTCCTCTATCAGAGAGCATGTGGGCACAGAGAGAGGAGATACACACAAATTAATCAATTTTGCTACATAGTAAAAGGTTTGGTAGGAGAAGAGATTAGAAATAATGGCTAAAATGAAGCTTCTAGACTGTCTGCAGATTTCATTTATCCTTATTATCTAGTCCCTTGTTAGAAATGTAGCTTCATTTAAAACTATTACCCTCTAATGCAGTGACCCTCAACAGAGGAGCATTTAAAAAAAAAAAAAAAAAAAAAACAGTGCCCTCTCCCACCCTCTTAGAATACATGGCCCATATTATGCTTCACATAATTGCATAGGCAAAGCTTTATATACCCTAGTTTGTCTGTAAGTCCAGTGTTAGTCCTGTACCCCACTAGCAGCACTACAAAAGAGTGAAACATGAAAAACCGTCATCTGGCCAAAAGCATCAATGAGTATAAAATGTTTTCTGTCTTAAGTTGAGTAGGTCCCATGCAAGCCTTTGACCATTAGGATCTACACTTACCTCCAAAAGTCCTGACCCTCAGAGCTAAATCTGGCCCTGGTCACATCCTGGCCCATAGGACCAGTCTACTTCCTCAGGTGACATCCTGTCATAGCAAATGCTACATTTAGTCCCACTCTTCCCATTTTCAGAACCAACTGCTTGGCTTCCCTGCAATAATATGGCCATAGCTTACATACCGATTTTCACCTTGAATGAAATAAAAAATATATATATATCAAGAGATCAAAGAATTGAAAAGCTGTCTGCTATGTCTCTATAGATGAACTCATTTAGTAAAATAGTCTTTGCATTT